ATGCAAGCTTGTGCAGCCACTCTGGAAAACAGTATGGAGGTTCCTCAAAAAGTCATAGAGCTACCCTATGACCCAGCAATCGCACTACTGCGCATTTACACTAAAGATACACATGTAGTGATCTGAAGGGCATGTGCACTCCAATGTTTACAGCAGCAATGGCCACAATAGCCAAACCATGGAAAGAACCTAGACATCTATCAACAGATGGATGAATAAAGAAGATGTGGTATATATATACAATAGAATACTATGCAGCCATCAAAAAATGAAATCTTGTCACTTGCAATAATGTGGATGGAACTAGAGGGTATTATGCTAAACGAAATAAGTCTGTCAGTGAAAGACAATTATCATATGATCACTCTGATATGAGGAATTTGGGAGACAGGGCAGGGGGTCTTGGGGGGAAGGGAGGAGAAAAAATGAAACAAGATGAGACCAGGGAGGGAGACAAGCCATAACATAAGAGACTCACGAAACAAACTGAGGGTTGCTAAGGGGTAGTGGGGGGAGAGATAAGGTGACTGGGTTATGGACATTGGAGAGGGTATATGCTATGGTGAGTGAGGGTACAGGTCTGTGAATTGTGTAAGACTGATGATTCACAGACCTGTACCCCTGAAGCAAGTAATACATTATATGTTAATTTTTTTAAAAGACAAGACATGGGGGAATATTATATGTGTATTGCTAATTAAAAGAAGCAGTCTGAAATGGTTACATACTTTATGATTCCAAGTATATGACAAAGGAAAAGGCAAAAACAGTGAAGACAGTAAAAAGACCAGAGGTTACCAAGAGGTGGGGAGGGACATGTGGGCAGAGCACAGAGGATTTGGGGGTAGTGAAACTACTCTGTGGGATACTATTATGGTGGATACATGTCCTTATGCATTTATCCAGACCCACAAAATGTATAACATCAAGAGGGAACCCTAATGTAAACTATAGAATTTGGGGGCTAATATGTCCATGTAATTTCATCAATTGCAATAAATGTACCACTCCGGTAGGAAACGTGCTAATGGGAGAAGCTATGCATGAGTGGGATCAGGGAAATTTCTACTTTCTCCTCAATTTTGCTGAGAACTGAAACTGCTCTTTAAAAAATGAAGTCTCGTGGTCTCTGAAAAACAATCTGAGGGTTTTGAAGGGGCAGGGGGTGGGTGGTTGGGGGAGCCAGATGGTGGGTACTAAGGAGGGCACATATTGCATGGAGCACTGGGTATGGTGCAAAAACTATGAATTCTGTTATGCTGAAAATAAATTTAAAAAAATGAAGTCTTTTTAAATTGTTTCACAAAACAATCAAAAACAAAAAAAAATAGATTTTTTTTTTAGTTTTATAGACAAGAATATAAAGAGCAAGAAGGAGCCACTGGATTTGCAACAATGGTCCTTAGGTGATCCTGGCAGCAGCCATCTCAGTAGAAGTCTGAGTGGGTAGGATGTGAGGAACACTAAAAATAAAGGCAATTCTATCAAGTGGTTTGTCTGTGAAGGAAAGGAGGAAAGGTAGATGTTGACCCCATGACTATGGGGTCAAGAAGATTTTGTTGTTATTATCATTTTTGGTTGTTGTTAGTTTTTTTTTTTAATTTTTAATACTAACTCTTTATTTCACTTTAAAGTTTATAAATAATTTTTTTCAAGTGCTATATTTAACATTTTTTTAAGATTTTATTTATTTAACAGACACAGATCCAAGTAGGCAGAGAGGCAGACAGAGAGAGAGAGGAAGGGAAGCAGGCTCCCTGCTGAGCAGAAAGCCCGACGCGTTGCGGGGCTCAATCCCAGGACCCCAGGATCATGACCTGAGCTGAAGGGAGAGGTTTTAACCCACTGAGCCACCCAGGCGCCCCTGTTTTTAACATTTTATTTAATTTTTGCACTAGCTTGTTAGGAGATGATATTCTTTGGCTCATTTTACAGCAGATAAAAAATAAGAACATCACATTGTATAAAGCCATTTCAGTATAAACTCAGGGTGCAATTGTTTCACAGAATTCATAAGTTTAGATCAATTTCCATACTTCTTTTTCTTTTTATGAAATGTTAGTCACCACATGGTACATCATTAGTTTTTGATGTAGTGTTCCATGATTCATTGTGTGCATATAACACCCAGTGCTCCATGCAATCCATGGTTTGTTTTAAAGATGGAGACAGGTTCTTACTATGGCAGCACATATACTAAAATTGGAAAGACAGAAAGATTAGCATAGCCCCTGCACAAGGATGACATGCCCATTTGTGAATCATTCCATATTTTTAATACCAAAGAACCATAAGCTGATTAAAAAATGGGCAGAAGACATGAATAGACCTTTCTTCAAAGAAGACATCCAGATGGCCAACAGAACCATGAAAAGATGCTCAACATCACTCATCATCAGGGAAATCCAAGTCAATACCACAATGAAATATTACTGCACACCTGTCAGAATGGCTAAAATCAAAAACACAAGGAATGACAAGTGTTGGCAAGGACGGGGAGAAATAATGAATCATTGAACACTACATCAAAACCTAATGATATACTATATGCTGGCTAACTGAAATAAACAAACAAACAAATAAATAAATAAATAATAAAATTTTTAAAAAGAAAGATGAGGAGAAAAAGGAACCCTCAAGCACTGTCGGTATGAATGCAGACTGGTGCAGCCACTGCAGAAAAGAGTATAGAGATTCCTCAAAACTTTAAAAAGAGAACTATGCTGGGATCCAGTAATTGCACTGCTGGGTATTTATCCAAAGAATACAAAGAGATACATACACCCTTATGTTTATTGCGGCATTATTTACAATAGCCAGACTATGGAAGCAGCCCAAGTGTCCATCAATAGATGAATGGATAAAGAAGAGGTGATATATATATCCTATATATATGTAATACATAGCACTATTATTGGGCTGTAAAAAAAGAGTGGAATGCTGCCATTTGCAACAACATGGATGGATCTAGAGAGTATAATGCCAACTGAAATAAATCAGTTGAAGAAAGACAAATACTATATGATCTCACTCATATGTGGAATTTAAGAAACAAAAAAAATGAACAAAGAAGAAAAGAGATTTACCAAAAAACAGACTTAGCTATAAAGAGATGGTTACCAGAGGGGCAGCAGGTGGGGGAATGGGTGAAATAGGGGAAGGGGATTAAGAGTATACTCATCATGATGTAAATGAGTAGATGTAATATGTAGAGAATTTTTGAAGACTATATTGTACACATGAAATTAAAATAAAAATGTATGTTAATTATATTAAAATTAAAATTTTTATTTATTTGTTTATTTGACAGAGATCACAAGTAGGCAGAGAGGCAGGCAGAGAGAGAGAGGGGGAAGCAGGATCCCTGCTGAGCAGAGAGCCCAACGGGGGCTAAATCCCAGGACCCTGGGACCATAACCTGGACTGAAGGCAGAGGCTTTAACCCACTGAGCCACCCAGGTGCCCCTAAATTAAAATTGTTTAAAAAGAAAAATGCCTATACCAATCTGATAAGTAAAAATAAACAAACAAATAAATAAAATGGGAAATGTCTGGGGGAAAAATAGAACAGTTAATGTCAGACATTCTATAGAGAATAGGTAACTTGAAATTTCACTGTAAGAAAATAATAATCATGATTATTTAAATCAAATATTTGTCAAACTTTAACTATTGGCTAAGCTAGGTATTGGATGGGAATGAAATGAATAAGGGTCCTGTCTACCCCTGTCCTCAGCAGCTGCAGCTTGGACTCCAATGGTCTCTTTCTATTATCCTTCACCTTCCTAATTCCTGGGGTCCAGCCCAGAAAATGAAGGTAGTCTAAACGAAGTGTATAACGGAGTTTGGCATCAAATGGCTATATGATCTTTGAGAATCCTTTCAGCTCAGAGACATGCTTATGACTTCATTTTATATTTTTATTTTATTTTATTTTATTTTATTTTATTTTATTTTATTTTATTTTGAGAGGGGTGTGGCTAAAGGGAAAGACTCTTAAGCAGGCTCCATGCCCAGTGCAGAGTCTGATGCAGGGCTCAGTTTCACAACCCTGAGATCATGACCTGAGCCAAAATCAAGAGACAGACACTTAACCGACTGAGCTACCCAGGTGCCCCACTTACAACTTATTTCTAAGTTCTCACACAGTCCAGAGAATCAACGGCTACCTGGGATATGACAGAAAGTAAAAGCTGAGATTTGACATTATCCTTCCTAGAGTATGTTCAAAACTCTTCCATGTCTGCATACTTCCTTGCCACCTTCCCTTGCCATGCTTACAATAGATGGAACTTTTTGAGACATTATTGCAAAATGAAGGGAGGCAGAAAATCCTCTATGCTATCCTGAGAACAGAATAGGTCATGGATATTTAAAAAGTTTGAATGGTACATAGAAAGATAGCCCAGGTATATACTGCACTCCATTAATCAGAGCAAGGGTTTGATGAGAAAGGGAAATACTTCCAAACTTTAGTCCACTGATAGAAGGACCCTAGTTCCCAAGAGAAAGTTTATCAGCTCTTGAAGATCCTGGGCTTGTGTTCCCATCTGCAGACCAAGCGTTGGACTGCCAGGAAAAATAAACTAGCCTTGGTCTTTGTCTTTTGGAAACCAGGATTGGCAGAGTATAAAAGGAGATTTAAGCAGCCTCTGAAATTGAGTTCATTTAACTCCTGCCTGAAAACAGAGCAGGGGTTGAATGACTGCAGTAGAGACAGGAACAAAAAGTAGAGATATGAACCTATCCCCTAAAGAAAAGAAGGAAATACCAACAGCTCCTTTGGAAGAAAAAGGAGAGAGAAGTGTGATCCTGGATTTTTTGTGATAAAGGGGGAAATGTCTGCACAAGAAGATAATAGGAGCTATTTTCTTGCATAATAATTGTAAAAGAGCTTTTGTCAGTCCTTTGCCAAAATGAAATGCGGAGCAAAAGAGATGAGGGTCCATTATGCCCCGGCTTCTCACTATTCCATCTCTGCTGCAATGTTTGATTTCCAGGATGAAGAGCAAGTCACCATTGAGCAGGATTCTTTAAGAAACAAAGAAGATGAGGCGGATGACCCAGAGACACATCAAAAAGGGTACAGGTTTAAATTAGAGGTGTAACCTTATTTGGTTTTGTCACTTTGTTTTATCCTCGTCTAATTTCAATCATTTATTATTATTCATTATCTATTACCACCACTACCACCCACCCAACAGCATTTTCAGAAAAATTAACACTCTATGATAATCACTGTGGTAAATTCAAACTGCTGATGTCCTCTGGGAACCCAATATCCAGGACAGTCTTCTAATTAAAGCCATAAATTACCAACTAATTGCTCCAGTCCATGCAAAAGTAGTTAATTCATCTTCTCAATGTCAATCAATAAGCAATTGATTTCTCAAAACCCGATCCACATTAAGTCCCCACAAACTTGCTCTTACACTGTAGTATCTTAAAGGTATTCCAAGTCCTTATTGCTCCATGAAGTAAGAGAGGCAAATAATTTTCTTTATTTTTTGGACCAGGAAAATGAAGCTCAGAGAAGTGACTTACTCAAGGTTAGTCAACTAGAGACGAACAAAGCTAACTTAACAATTTCCGCTTCTGATTTCTAGTCCAAGATTGTCTGGTTCGTCATAACTTTCAAGCATTTGTCAAATTTCTGAATGTCCATTTAAATTTTATTTAAATTTCTATGTCTCTGAGGAACTTTGTTTTTATGCATCAGAAGGTCTCTTTGGAGCTGGTGAGAATTAAGATTAAAAGCTCTTGTCACCATCCACAACATTTACTACCTCAGAAACCTGAGCTTAGATCCATCTTTCATTTTACTCTATGGATCTCTGACCCCCAGGGGCTGAGAAACTGTCTGGGGTGGGTAGAGATACTCAGCTTTCCCCTAATGATAATGGGATAGAAGTAATCTCCAGGAGGATAGAAATGATCTAGTCAAGATTACCAAATGGCTGAAGCCTCTATTTTGAGCTACTTTAATTTATACAGTATAAGATCACTGTCTTGGACCACACACACTCCATGCAATTAAAGAATCTGATGAACCCAACCTGAAGTACATGCATGCGCCCAATTCAATGTTGCCTTCCACCTCTGCCACTTTGAAACACTACCAGAAATCGAAGACGATGGATCATCAGCCTTTCCCAAGTTCAGCCATGAAAACTTGGTCTTTACTGAATTTTTATTTCCTCCATATCTTCTGGATCAGTGTTTCTAATTCACTCATATACATAACACCAAAGTTCTCATGATATAAAACTCATCATTACTATGTCTGATATGCTCTCATATATCCTATTTTTTCTTATTAAAGATGGATGTCCCGCACTGTGCTCTTCTTAATCCATGGATGGGTCCCAACCCACACTGATGGAATACTGTTCCAGATAAGCAACACACACTAACATCTCATTTATCCAGTAATTCAACAAATGCCCATCAAGCAGCCTCATCCCCAAGGGTCCTAATGCTACTAGGCTCATGTATATTCTCCAAGAAGTTAGCTTGTCAAGGTTTTATCATGAAATATGATCAAAGAAGACAGTAGGAGTAAAGCACAGAAGGATGCCTCTGTCCAAGGAGATGCAAGAAGGTGTTGTATGAGTGAGGGCCTTTGGCTGTACCCTGAAAGGTGCAGGGGGTGCCAAGACTTGGACACGCAGGCATAGCTGCTGCAAGATGGAGAAGTGGAGGGGAGGTCCCAGCTCAGGCCTGAGTCCTTTGAGATCCTGAAGATGAGGAATCTCCTCTAGGGACTAGAAGTGGCCTAGACGTGGCAATGATTAAATGTATGAATAAATTTCTTCCTCCAGTAGGAAAATAAGAGGTCTCCATTAGAAGGCACACTGAGGAAAGAGACAAGTGCAGGGAAGCCTGATTTCAGGGCAGGAATGGAGGGAACCAGGAGCACCCCAGGAGAAGTAGAGGACAGTACCATGTGTATAGTCCTGGGGCCCCTCCAAACTCACTGGCTGATGGACATTGTCCTCCCCAGCAGAAGTAGTCAATGCACATTGACTCACTCACTACCTACCACCCCCTAACAAAGCTCTGGACAGAAACAAAGGCATGCCAGCAATGCCAGAACTTTCTGGAAAGCTATCTTACAACCTGCAACTTGGTAGCTCTGAAATCCACAAGATTCTTCTTTATATTTGAAGCACCCAGTGAAGTCTGTAGTCTCCCACTAAAAAATGTGGTAAGCCAGGACGGGGAACAACCAACTTACTCAAACTGTATGAGACCAGAAGGGGTGAGAGTTTCTAAAATGAACATTTCATAACCGTGGCTTAAAAGCTATCAAAGGCCCTCATAGTCCAGTGAGAAACACTCTCATCTTATGATTTATTTTTGGCTTTTGGTTAGTTACCGTTTCCCCTGCTCTGTTTCCAGAAGCATGTTTTCTGCATTTCTGTAAGCCCTCAGGGCTTGGCACATCCACACAGCAAACGCTGATCCACGCCATGGCTGATTATAGTCTTAAATGAGATGAGTATCCCATTTCTATTTTGCAGGACATACACTTCACCAATTTGTTCATTTGCTCGCTTGATTTACAAAGGCTCATCTAGCTCAGTATGTCAGTTTATTTCATGTTTTTGATATTTACTTCTGCCTGCCTTTTTGTTTTTGTGTTGTTACAGATATCTGGAAAGGAAATATGATACAGTTTGTGATTTTTATAAGAAACACAAAACTACCCTTTGGTACATCATCTGGGGCATCTTAATACTAGGTAAATAATGAAAAGAAGATGGATGCCAGTGTCTTTTCATGAGAATTCCCCAATTACTAGTTTTCTGTAGGAAGAAAATAAATCTTTCTAATCTTTTTGTTCCCCTGGACTTCAGTGAATCCGGAGAAGCAGAAATGTTAATCAAGAAGCCCTGAGTGATGGGTCTCAACTGGGGTTGCCTATGCAGACTGTTTCCCTTTTCAGTGTATGCAGCTAGCAGCTAATTATTCAGGTCCCCTACTCTTACGGCCTTTGTTGTTGTGACAGATTTAAGGGTTGGTTAATGCAAATCCAGGTAACTAGAAGACATGGTGATACTCACCAGGTGGGAGTCTAATTGCAGAGGGCAATCTAAGTGAAATTCATACTTCATGCAAATACAATGTAAGCAGGAGCCTAGGGTCATGTAGGCTGTTCCTCTTGCCTATCTTTGCAGATGAGCAGGTCCCCTATTTTGACTCCCTCCAAAGCAAAGTTTTCCACAGCCCATTTTGAAGAACACTCCTGTCTATGAGAACCCACGCACCCAAGTCCATTGACATTAATTTAAGATCACTGCACCTCCAAGGTCAGTAGCTTGGTTGGTGGTCAGATAGCTGAAATGAGGAACAGCAGGGTTAAAAGCTTCCTCTATACTGGACCACCTAGTATTCTAGGCTTTTCAGGCCATGCAGCGAAGACCAAACAACTCTGCATTCAGCGTCTTCTTGGTTGAACCTCCCCTTGGCTGAGCCGCGTCAGTGCTATAGGCTGGTCAGCAGCTTGGTGTGGGTGATGTACCCTGTCTGCACTCACTTTCTCAACAGGTTACCTGGCGATGGTGATTGCAGCTTGTGCGCTGAACTTTCAGAGAGCCCTTCCCCTTTTCGTGATCACCGTGGCCGCCATCTTCTTTGTGGTCTGGGATTATTTTATGGCCAAATACGAGCATCGAATCGATGAGTGCCTGTCTCCTGGCAAAAGGCTCCTAAAAAACCAGTGGTTCTGGATGAAGTGGTAAATGCACCCAGTCCTCTTGTTGCATTTGAGAGGGAAGTTAGTCTTTTCCAACAGTGTTACAAAAACGCATTCTGAAATTGCTCCCTCATTTATGGGCTATTGAAACTAGAAATAACCAAATTATAATGCCTTCATTTTACAAACAGGAAATCAAGGTCTAAATAGGGCAATGACTCATTCAAGATATGTACAAATATCCCTACAAAATGCTTTAATTTCAAGTGCCACCAAATGATAAAATGTTGTGCAAGCAATGGGTCAGTTCTGTCTTAGGGAGGCAGCTTGCTGCTCGGGACCTCTTTGAGAGAAAGACCCTGTGAATTATTAAAGCTGACTCTTTCCTATAGGACCCCATATCCTATGAGTGAGCACTCAGGGCTTTTCCCTCTGCCTATTTCTGTGGAACTTCCTCTTCCTCCAGGTGGCTCTAATGGATTGGACACAGGACAGGTTCTCGCCAGAGTAGCTCACAAGGGATGTACCAGGAAAGTTCACAAATCCTTGGCCTAATGACACAGGATTGTGCAATCTCAACAAGCTTTCTGGCTCTGCCCTCTAAGCTGTGAGTCAAACTTGTCATACCCACTGGATCCTCCAAGGAGTCAGAACACATTCTGAAGTCCAACTTAGCTCTCTGAGGTTCAGTTGAAGTCCCCCATCTCCAGAGAACACATCTCAAGTTCTCCCCTAAAGGGAAGAAAGGTAAAATCTCTCCCATTTCCCAAAATGAAAGTGAGAACTCACAGCAGATCTCTCAAAGATACCACCAGACTTCCCTCTCAAAGCGTCCTTTCTCATCTCTGACCCCTTTGTATGTCCTTGAACTAGTGAAGAGCCCAAGAGTTGTAGAATGTGCTTAAGACAGTGCTTAATATTTTTTTTATTTTTTTATCGTTTGGCTATCTGCCTTTATAGCCACAACAAAAGAGGGTTTGTACAATATCTAGAAGCATAACTTCCTGGTGCCAGGGTATGCTGCTCTTAATGCATTTCTTATTTGTTAGTTGAAGCCTGCTCCAGATTTTCAGGTTAGCATAACAGATGATGTTAATGCCTCCTTTCTGATTCTCTTAGGGTGATTTGGACCTTACTAATCCTGGGAGTTATTTTCTGGCTGATCTTTGACACTGCCAAATTGGGTCAACAGCAGCTGGTGTCCTTTGGTGGCCTCATAATGTATATTATCCTGATATTTTTATTTTCCAAGTACCCAACCAAAGTAAGTGTGAAATCGATCTTTTTCAGCTTGTTCCCTCTTTTTTTGCCCCTCATGTCTAAATTGCTCAAAATAATGAGTGTGAGAGAATTTCACTGTTATTCAGTGTTTGTCTTACCTTGCTATGCTACATTACGTGGCTAGAGTGCCTTTCTTCCCAAGCTTTCTGGGCACTAGTACTCTCTCATTTTTCATTCTCAGTAATTTTCCAGTTACACCACCAGGGAGGTGTTCTCTCCTGCCAAGTCCAATTTCTACTCATGTACCCCACCTCCCTCCATCAAACACACAAAGAAAATTTATCTATTTTGATCCGGGTTTCCCCAGGCCAGTAAATAATCTAATATTCTACCACTGGATTCTGCCATTTATCAAATTTCTATTTGCAAGTTAGATTATTTTACTGTAAAAATCTGTTCTTTTTTTTTTTTTTTTTGACAGAGAGAGATCACAAGTAGATAGAGAGGTAGGCAGGCAGAGAGAGAGAGGGAAGCAGGCTCCCTGCTGAGCAGAGAGCCCGATGCAGGACTGGATCCCAGGACCCCGAGATCATGACCCGAGCCGAAGGCAGCGGCTTAACCCACTGAGCCACCCAGGCGCCCCCTGTAAAAATCTGTTCTTAACCAGTTTTGTTCCCACTAAATTCAATTCTCATTCTCATTTTATCAGCCTGTAACAGATTAAATGGGCAAGAATTCAGAGATATCGAAACTTTCACTCACAATTCAGAATGGCAAACTCCAGAAGATTTTATTGGCTTTCTGAAAGGTTGACCCAAGAAAAACAAGTCACCTAGTAGGATCCAAAGTGCCTGCCCACCTCGGGTCAGCCTCTCCACTGCTATCTATGCCTCTGATACCACAGAGTTTTGCAGCCCACTCATCTCAGCACCAAAAATGAAAGCAGATGATTGTCCATTCCTGCTGCATTCCCTGGCTCTGCATTAGAGTTAATTTGTTCCTTTTACAGTGAAATGGGAGCCCTCGCAGGGTGGAATTTCACTTAATTCACTTACAAATTGTCAGATTAACAAACCTTGGGCACACAGAGAGAAGCCATGTTCTACCTTTCCATTTTCCAGACAGGGGAAGTAATTATATGTCTCTAACATTACAGCATGGCGAAGAGGACCCAATCCCTTCCTCCTTTAATGGAGTCTCCTCTAAGACTATTCTTTTTTTTTTTTTTAAAGATTTTTATTTATTTTGAGAGAGAGAGAGAGAGAGACAAAGTGAGAGAGAGCATGAGAGGGGAGGTCAAAGGGAGAAGCAGACTCCCCGTGGAGCTGGGAGCCCAATGTGGGACTTGATCCCAGGACTCTGGGACCATGACCCGAGCAGAAGGCAGTTGCTTAACCAACTGAGCCACCCAGAAGCCCCTAAGACTATTCTTTATGTCTAAGTTATTTCATCATGATATAATAGGTACATACTCTCCGGGGACCGAAGCCTTCAAACTCAGGGTTTGAAAGGGGGAATGCAACCCTGAGATCTGGGGGCATGATTCTATCAAGAGATTCTCTGCTCTCAACTGCTTTGGGCTCCCAAACTGTGGATCATTGGCCATACGTGAGAAGTTTCCAAGGAAATCGTGACCCTCTGGGCATGTATACTGAGCTTAGCATTCATTTTCTAGTAAGATCTATCTCTCCATCTTTCTGCCTAGGTTAACTGGAGGCCTGTCTTTTGGGGAATTGGGTTACAGTTTCTTCTCGGGCTCTTAATCCTAAGGACTGACCCCGGATTTATGGCTTTTGATTGGTTGGGCCAACAAGTTCAGGTGAGTTGGGTTCAGATGAACATCTTGCTTATAAGTGCTTTTGACATTTGGCTATAGTCCTCAAGACATGTCAGAAATAGGTTTCTTCTGCATGAGTTGACCCACATTTTTGTTTGTGTAGAATACATTAATCTGTCTAGTATATTAATATTACATTTGTCCCTCCCCCATATCATCCATTGCACCACTCCCCTATCCCAAATGTCCCTTTCATCCTGCCCCAGAGGTGTCATACTTCTAAGATGGTTCCACAAACAGAAAAACAGGCTTTCTTCATACCAAGTGCTAACTAGTGCCATCTGTGTTCCATGTATGGTTTGCTGGAACAAACTGACACACCTGGCTCCTTCTTGAGCCTCCTGGAGTCAGACTGAATGTCACAAATGACAGGAAATCTGTATGTGGGTATAGTTCAAAAATATTCTTCCATGCCATCCATTGGAGCAAGGAAAATTACAAAAATCTACCTTCCATGTCTAACCAGCAAGTTTGCTGGGCTCCCCATCTGCAGAGCCTAGAAGGTCCTGTAGACACAATTCCGTGGTTGTAATGATCGTCTGCTTTTCCTTTCTTTCACTCAGACCTTCTTGGAATACAGTAACGCTGGTGCTGAATTTGTCTTTGGTGAGACATACGCAGAGCACTTCTTTGCATTTAAGGTAAAACCAAATCCCTTTTTGAAATAGTTACTTCCTTTTCAGTACCTTCTGGGTCTTTGTCCCAGATATTTTGATTAGAATATCTACTAGATATTAATATCTAATACCTAATTAATTAATACTAATTAGATATTAATATTAATTGATATTAATACTACTATCTATTAGATATTCTGATAGAAACTGACCAGAAACCAGATATACACCTGCCAGGCATGTCCTGGGTGGATATCACATCACTGCCTTTTTTCATTTATCAGATTTTTTCTGAAGTCAGTAGATAGCAAACATTTTTCTTGGTTACCATAGCATCGAGGGAAACAGCTATAAGTCAGACATATACAAATACTTCTGAGGGGGCTCCCGGCTTTGCCTGAGATACTTCTGAAAAATCATATGGGACAATAGTATCTGAGGCATCTGGGGAAGGAACATCCGGTAGCTGGCAGTGATGAGGCATATGGCCAATGATGGCTTCCAGGCCTGGGATCAGTGACAGCTCTCTGCTCAGGAACCTTCTCCATCTCCCAAAAGGAGACAGCTGCTCACCCCATTAACCTCTCTTCTTCCAGAGCCATTTTCATGCTAAACCCTTTCATTTTCAGCATAGCAGGCCTGGAGGCTGGGCCTTCTCCCAACCCAATGAGGCACATTATGCTCCAGGGGAAAGGGAAGCTGGCCTCCGTGCACTCCCACAACCCCCAGGAAGCTCAGTTTCCCCTGTGAAGACCCTACAAATACTCGTTGATGAGGCAGAAAGATGAATTCAGCTTTTCCTTCAGCATTCTTTTTTTGTGGTATTGTTATTCCTACGCTTCTAACTTATTTTCTCACTTAGGGATTCTGAGTTTACCTCCAATCTACCCAGGCTTCTGTTGGGTCAATGTTTATGCTGAATCTTTTTTTTTTTTTTAATTGCTGAGCCCAGAATTGGGAAAAAGAAAGTCACAAGGGAGGTATAACTTGCTGCCCAGATTGTGCCAGTGTCTTTGGACATTTCCTACCCACCCACCTCCCTCTTCCCCAGAGCATGGCCTCTATCCTTTCTGCCAAAGCAGAATCCCTATGAGCACATTCAAGAGATAAGCCCCTTTAATTCTCTGAAGCTTTCAGGAAGGCTCTGCTTGCCCATTAAAGCCAATAAAAGCACGTAAGTGAGTGAGCTCTGAATAATGGCACAAATGTCTTCTAATATATATTATTAATAGATTTTTCTAAATTAGATCCTGTACAAATTGTCCTCGGTCATTCCATGCCTCTGGTGGCAGCTTGTCCCCGGTCATTTAACTGGGGAACAGAGGGAAAGGGGTACAGACGGGTAGGGGTGTGGAGGGAGCCAGCCCACAGCTCCGTGTGTTCTCTGCGGGGTAGAAACTGTTCACTGTGGAAACACACGCTGCATCAAAGGCACCCAAATAGCATCAGGGAAACAAGATCCAGAAAAAGACAATTGTGGTATCACAGAAGCAAACTAAGTCTCCCAAGTTTACTGTTTTTAGTGATTAAAAAAAAATCTATAAGTAAAATAATAATTATCTTAAAAGATAAATGAGGGGTGCCTGGGTGGCTCAGTGGGTTAAGCCTCTGCCTTCAGCTCAGGTCATGATGCCAGGGTCCTGGGATCAAGCCCCGCAACAGGCTCTCTGCTCAGCGGGAAGCCTGCTTCTCCCTCTCGCAATCCCCCTACTTGTGTTCCCTGTCTCGCTGTCTCTGTCTCTGTGAAATAAATAAATAAAATCTTAAAAATAAAATAAAATACAAAATAAACGAATGGGCACTTACTTTATGATGCAGTGTATGGAAGCACCTACCGTGCTCTATCTGATCTGTGCAGCCTCTGTAAGGAAGGATCTGAGAGGCTCCTTTTACTGTTTTGACCAGCATCCTCTGCTAATAAGGCTGTTTAACATCAGAATGTCAAGAACATTTGCCCATGGCCTTCAGCTTCTTGCTCTAGTTATTACAAATTCCCCTGAAACTGTATTACTTCTCTGAGAAACTACAGTAAGAAAAGCTCATCATTGCAGAGAAACAAAAAATGTCACATTTCCTATGAAATATACTCAAGTGTATCCAGAGGAAATTCAAAGAAAAAATGGCAGATGGGGTGCGCTGGCTGATTAAAATGTCATTTAGTTCAAAATTACATCAATGATGATGATTTGGAGGATGTTTCGGTGGGGATAAGGAGGCAGAAAAGTGACCTGATCTGAACCTTACTGATCCAACTGAGGCCAACATCAACCCATGATTGCTTTCATGCCCTCACCTTGCTCCCCAGGTCCTGCCAATCGTGATTTTCTTCAGCACCGTGATGTCCATGCTCTACTACCTTGGCCTGATGCAGTGGATCATTAGAAAGGTACTGGGACTTGTAGAGATTGGATGACAAGTGTATGGAGGCGATTTTAGGGACAAAGTCTTAAATGCCTTTTATCCGGGTTTTCTCAAACAGCCTTACTGTTTGTACCAAGATTCACCACCACCTCCTCTTCCATCCCAAGTTATTAGACCCAAACCAAAAAATCCTACATGGGGCCCTAGAGGCAATTTCACCTTAGGGACTTCTAACCGGCTTTAACTCGCCGTCAGTGGTTCCTGGCTATCTTCCTAAAACCTTAGTAATTATATCTTGAACCAAAGAATTGACTCCAGCCGAGCACATGCCCATGGGGAGAACAGCATCCTTCCTTCAACCTGGCTGTGTTCCCTGAGCTTTACACAGAGTCCCTCCTTCTCCTCGGGACATTGCAAAAATGGAGGCTCTTGTTCTAGGAGTTGCCAGAGGATCCAAGCAAGAAGGGGAAGCTGCTTTGTGTTTCTGAAGGAGTTTGATAAGCACACACAAATTAAAAAAAAACTAAAAGTCTGAAAAGTTCATCTCATCCCTGCCACCCCAGCAACTGTCAGTCCTAGTACATTCGTGTTAAATCAGAACATGAGGAAATGTGTGAGTTAGTTTGATTGCACACATGAGCCAGGCAGTGCATACAGAGTTTGGACACAGCCATAGCCCTCCTTTGATCCTTGTAAATACATAAAATAGAGGGAAGGAGAGAGAGAGCAAGACAGGGAGAGCGAGAGAGAGAGAAACCAGAACACCAGCAAAATTCAGAATTTCAGCAAGAATGTGCTAGGGCCCATAATTTTCTGATTGTTGACTTCAACATTCAGCATTCATTTCTGTGCTCACATCTAAGCAGAAAGGAAGGAAAGAATGCAACAGAAGGTCCCCATCCTGAAGCGGACACCACAGTCTCTAGTTGGAAGGGCCAGTGCAGAAAGGGGACCATCAACCATGTTCATTTGAGAGTTCAGTAGAAAAGGCCAAACCTCAACTACATCCCAGTGCTTATTAGCTGCGTGATCTTAGACAAAATAACTAAGCTGTTCTGTGCCTTGGATTCCTATTCTATAAGATGGCCATGATTACAGGACCTCCTTCAAAGGGCTATTATGATAATTAAATGTGTTCCCTGGATCAAGAGCATAAAACAGTGCTTGGAATGCAGTGAATCTTATCACAACTGTTAGCGATTACTATGGTTTATTACTCTTATACAATGTTTCAGTAGACAATTGTTTGCCTATTGAATGTATGAATTCAAAATATATACAATGATTCAGCCTTACTAGTCACATAGGAGGACTGGATGCATCCGCTCTGTAGACTAGATAACGTACACTCACTCTTAGCACCATCACAGGCCTGCCAACAATGGTGGAAGGCATTTTCCTCCAAAGACTTTCATCCCTATTTTGAAGTATTGTGTATACAAAGAGCTCTTCCCTGACTTTGTCCCTTTACCTCTTTAGGTTGGATGGATAATGCTAGTTACTATGGGATCATCTCCTATTGAATCCGTAGTTGCTGCTGGCAATATATTTGTCGGACAGGTAAGTTGTAATCTCAAAAAAACAAAAACAAAACACCTGTTGAAATGTATACTTTTCCTAGAAAGCAGAATAAGTAACATAACGGTGTTATTGTTTTTTAGTGTCAGGGGTAGGGTGTCAAAATAGGGAAGCCCCAGCACTGACAATGTCCAGATTCCAGAGAGAGAGAGAGAGTGTGTATGAGAGAGCGCCTTTCCGAGTGTCCCAGCGCACTAGCTCAAGAATCGTTTTATCAAAGCGCCGGGCTTCTCCTGTGTAGATTCTCAACCAGTCTTTTGTGAGCTGGCTGAATTGCTGACGTCTCCAACCCGCCCTCTGGAGGCTAGAGGGTCACCCACTCGAATGGAGTTCACCACTTACCCAGAAGCTGCAGAGATGTAACAGGCAGCCTCATTTTCTGTGGTATAATGCTTGTGGAAATGGAAGAGGCCAATGACCCTGCAGCTGTATAAATACTGGAGATTATTCTCAACTTGTCTGAACGGGCCAACGGTCTGTCTTAGCTGGGCCTGAAGAAAGATGCTGATGAGCAAAAGCATTTTCATCTTCCTGATCCATCACACGGATAAATGCTTTGCCTGAAGCCTACTTAAGCAAGGAAGTATGAAGCCAAGGGGTGTCCTTCAAAACAGCAGCCTTCCTAAGGTGGATAAGGAAGAGATCGTAATCATCCTCGCCACTCGGAATAGGTAGCTTCAGGCAAAATGGAATCACACCCAGGAAACGTGTGAATGCTTGCCAGCACCACTACCCAAGGAAATTGGATTTGAAGCAAAATTCAAGTCACCCAGAGAAACGCACAGTTCCAACTCCAACTCCAAATCCGAGGCTTACAGCTGATCCAGGCAGGCTGAGCCTTATTGGTAAGCCCAGCTTGCAAGCCTGGAGGACAGTCTTTAGGGCGGGGCCCATACTTCCTTCCCTAGGAGTTGAAATCGTGATAATTATAGCCATAAAATCTCTCAGGACTAATTAGAACACCTTCTTGACTTGATTACTCCTACCTGCGGGGTAAGAGGGCTTATGTACTGAGTTTCTATTTAGTCCATGAAGTGAAGCTCAACACATTCAATCTTACAGAACAATTATAAATAATGAGGGGAGAATTGTAAAATTGCACACATGCTTCTGTGATGCTCAATTTGATAACTTAATATGCTAAAAGTACAGCTATTATTTATGGAGAGCTCCACGTCGCAGGCCGCCTGTCCTCCTTAATGGGACTCAAGCCCTTACAACTGCACTCTAATTCCTTTCCACCCAAGGGGAAGAGTGGGGTGTCTGATTACCAATTAGGAAAGTTCCTGCAGGCACCTGTTCTTGTTCTTGCTGGTATTTTTTTTATACTTGCATCTCTATGTCCATGTGGTCTAAGCAAAGAGGTATATGGTCTGTCAAGAAGAACCTGGAAGATGGGAAATCTCCAGTTCAGAAGGCCAGGGCAGTTACTCTGGTAATAGTATTCCAACTTAGAAAAGAGTATCTGGCCATCAGACTCTAATCCTAGGCTGGTGGGACCTTATACGGACTGGCCTTACAGACTTTGCAGACTTGACACATGACTCTATATGCACACTGATGTGGAGTTCAGTGACCCAGACATTATTGGTGTAGGTTCTCAAATGAACATGCATCAGAACCACCTGGAAGGCTTGTTCAAACACGATTGCTGGTCCCGTTCCCGGAGTTTCTGAATCTGTAAGTCTGAGAATTTGCACATCTACCAAGTTCCCAGGTGATGCTGATAGAGCTGTCTGTGGTTCACACTTAGAAATACTACTTTAAGTCCAACTCTTGGTTTTGGCTCAGGTGGTGATCTCAGGGTGGTGGGATTGAGTCCTGCATCAGGCTCTGCACTTGTCATGAGTCTGTTTGAGATTCTCTCTCCCTCTCCCTCTGCCCCTCCTGCTTGTGTCCTCTCTCTCTCTCTCACTCCCTCTCTCTGGAATAAAGAAATAAATCTTTAAAAAGAAAGAAAGCAATACTGCTTTAGAAAATGGAATCTTGGGGAACCTGGGTGGCTCAGTCAGTTGGGTGTCCAACTCTTGGTCTCAGCTCAGATCTTTATCTCAGGGTTCGAGTTTGAGCCCCATATCAGGTTCCACTTTAACAAAACAAAAAAAAAAAAAAAAGAGAGAGAGAGAAATCTTGAGTAGATTGGCAAACCCTCCTAAGGTTTAAAAAGGAACATTTAATCTGGTCTTCCTTTGCTTCCAGACAGAGTCTCCACTGCTAGTTCGACCATACTTACCACACGTCACCAAGTCTGAACTCCACGCAATCATGACCGCTGGGTTCTCTACCATTGCTGGAAGTGTCTTAGGTGCATACATTTCTTTTGGGGTAAGGATATTTATGGAAAATTATGGAAAATTCAACCTCTTATTTCTTTGCTGCTTTATCTCTGTCTTTTCTTTACCACTGCTGCCAGAAAAGGAGGCAAAACAGTGTCCTTCACCCTTCCTTTGGCATTTGAGTGGAGTAACCCTGAGGGGCTTTGTGACTTCATTTTCAAATCCCTGCCACCCAAATGTGAATTAGATCCAACTGTGGCAGAATGAAATCATATTATGAGGTTACTGTGGCTGAACACTTAAATATGTAAAACAACAACAACAACAAAAACCACTATCACTGTCACTAGTAGAAGCAGTCAAGACCAGGGTTCAGCAAAGTAAGGCTCATGGGTCAAAGTAAATTGCTCCCCCTTTTGGTAACAAGTTTCACTGGAAATCAGCTCCTATTCATTTCTGTATGGCAGCCTTCATGCTACAGAATTGGGTAGTTGTGGCCTGAAAAAGCCAAAAATGTTTACTCTCTGCCCCTTCACAGAAAAAGTTTTTCGACCTGTGCTTTGGAGCAGTGGTTCCCAAAACTTACTGCACATTAGAATCATCTGGGAACTTTTAAAAACCCTAATGCCCAGACCCATACTGCAGAGTCGTTAAGCCAGAATCCCTTGGGGTGAGACTTAAGCAGCACTGTTTCTTTAAAAACTCTTCTGTATATTCTAACATACAACCCAGTCGGAGAGCTGGTCGTCTGTGGCCCAGCGCAGCAGACCATCATTGACTGATGCTCTTGCCCCAAGCAAAGAGCTTCTATGCTCCACGTAGAGGCAACCCCCAGTGGAGAAATGGAAGAATACACAGCTGTAGGTGACTAGCAGTTCTTACGAGATAGGTGAGTTTCATCCCTCCGCCTCATCCGGTCCTCTGAGAGCCAACCATGAGGAAGAGAGAAGAGTAAAAAAGTGACAGAGATCTCAGGAATAGCAGCTTGTCTGGATCCACAGATGGTCCACTCCACCACCACTGTAGGAATTCTGCCGGCAGAAATGTGCTGGCTGCAAGGGAGTGGGGGAGGAAATCCAGATACTGCCATTCTGAAAATACAGGGAAGGGAAACCCGAAACAAAATAAGGATGTGGGGAGGAAAGGGAAGAGAGTTTAAGCAGGTCCACAGTGAAGGAAATAGAAATCCCTTAACAGATTAAAGGGACTCTGGATAAATGAATATTATATAAAGGCACCACGGATTTCAGGAGAGCGAAAGGAAGACAGGGAGGGGTGTGTCTGTGCCTGCATCCCCAGATACTCCCCCTGTCTACACTGATGATGTGATGAAATATGGGCTTTAGGGACTATTTAAACATTCAGAAGGTCCGCAGAGAGGTAGAGGAATCTGAAAGTTCTTACATAGGATTAATTCTCTTCTGAAATGATTAGATTTTGGTTTTGAGCTTCTCCCCAAAAGATGTGGTCAATTAACACCAATTCCTCCCTCCTCCCTCTGACTCTCAAGGTGATGCCGACTTGGCTCACTAAGTGCTTCCAAGCCTCCAAAGAAACACTTTCCTGGCATAGGGCTCAATTCTACCCTTCTCTTCCCCTGTAGGGCTTTTGGGCTGTTCATCCTGAACTCGACAGAAACGCTAAACCTCAGTTGACCTTCTTTCTCCTGAAATCACAGGTTTCACCCTCCCACCTGTTAACTGCCTCAGTCATGTCTGCACCTGCATCGTTGGCTGTGGCTAAACTCTTTTGGCCTGAGACAGAAACACCTAAAATAACCCTCAAGAACGCCATGAAAATGGAAAGTGGGTAAGTGGGACATCTAATTCATACCAGCTGGGGAGTCAGCTGAGGTGGGGCGGTTGGGGGGGGGTCCAGATTCAAAGCACAGCAAAACGTTGATAATTGGAGAGCAGAGTGAATCATGGTATTAAGGTGAATTTAATTTCTCAGTGACTTTTAGACTTCACAGGACTTCCAAAAAAAATCCCTTTATAATACTTGAAAATCTTCCTAAATACTTGAATGTCAGTGCACTTTCTGAGCAGTTCAATGTAGATGCTTCATGTAAAATATAGTGTAGTCTTTATTGAGCCCTGATTCACGACCATTGGAGAGCCATGGGACAACCATTTCTGGAAGTTTCTCATATAAGAGGGAGAATGAAGGTGTGATATAGGTATCTTTAACCCCTCATCAATTCCTTTTGTTTTGCCCTGTGCAAAAGAAAGAGGAAAAGGGGTGAAAAAGATGAAGGGGTTTAGGATAGTCAAAAGAATCTAGTTCAGTAACAGAATCCATCAACGAGCATGTTGCTGAGTTTTATCCCTTGTTTGTGTGTAGCTACAGTCAGTGAAAAGCAAATTGCCGAAGAATACACGTATGGGATATGTGTGCTTCCACTTACAAAGTTAAGCAAATGTGCAAACCTACACAATGTATTATTTAGGCACAACCTCGTGTAGGAAAAATGAAAAGAAAGGGAACGATAAGCAACTTCTAGGGAGACAGATACCTCTGAGATTGAAGAAAAGAGAATAAGGTTAGAGAAGGGGAAGTGCTCGAAGGTGATGGTGACATTCCACTTCTTCAATGAGGTGATAGATATTCAGGCCTCCTTTGAATTACTAGGGCTTATACCATGAATATTTTATAAATATTTTCTGGTAGCTACCGTAATATAATTTTTAAAACCTATAATATTCTTTTAAAGATTTTATTTATTTATTTGACAGACAGAGATCACAAGCAGGCAGAGAGGTAGGCAGAGACAGCGAGAGAGAAAGGGAAGCAGGCTCCCTGCTGAGCAGAGAGCCTGATTCGGGTCTTGATCCCACGACCCTGAGATCATGACCTGAGCCAAAGGCAGAGGCTTAACCCACTGAGCCACCCAGGTGCCCCAAAACCTATAATATTTGTATCATTTCCCAAATTTTTCATTATAAATCCCCCCTAATTAACAGAGTAGTAAAATGGTTAGACACTCATTTGCCATCACCTACACTCACCAATTATAAATGGCATCATGATTTGATGGAATTTAGGTATTTTGACCGAGGCAGGAGGCTGACAGTTTCTGTTTCTAACCAAATGAGCTCTGATTATGATGACTCTACACCTGTGATGTCCATTCACTGACAACACCTTGATAATTCTGAAATTGCTGTTTTTTGATAAAGCGATTCAAGGAACCTCCTAGAAGCCGCAACCCAGGGAGCATCTTCATCCATCTCCCTGGTGGCAAACATAGCTGTGAACCTGATTGCCTTCCTGTCCCTGTTGTCTTTTGTGAACTCGGCCCTGTCCTGGTTGGGAAACATGTTTGACTACCCACAACTGAGTTTTGAGGTATAATGCTACCATGTCTCTCCTCCATTTTGTTTCTGCCTATGTTTGTTAAAAAAAAAAAAAAAAAAAAAAAAGTAGGTTTGTGAATTGCCTTCCCTAACCACCTGTAGTATACTCCTACATAATGCACACACTTCTCATGTATCTCCCATCTTCCCACCACTGCCCTTCCCCCTCCATGTCCTATCACCCTTCAGGAGAGAATGACTGCCCTCGTGCCAGGAATCCAGGTTCTCTCAAATGACTCGGATGCCAGCTTGACTCCTAATGGGTGGAGATGGGGAAGGCAATGTGAAGGGAGTTCTATGCTTCAAGGAGACACAGAGGGGTTGGGAAAAATCTTGTCACAACAGTAAGGCAGAAGAACCAGAAGCAAATCACCACTCTAATAAAGTATCTATTTTTGGGTTTTGTAGATAATATGCTCCTACATCTTCATGCCCTTTTCCTTCATGATGGGAATAGACTGGCAAGACAGCTTTATGGTTGCCAAACTCATAGGCTATAAGACATTTTTCAATGAATTTGTGGCTTATGAGCACCTCTCAGAATTGATCCGTTTAAGAAAGGAGGCCGGACCCAAATTTGTAGATGGCACGCAGCAATATATGTCGGTGAGTAAACACATTGATTTCAGAACACACTTCTTTATCACATATATACATTCGTCAAATAGTCACAGGTGCTCCTGTGTAGCCGGCTAGGCACTTGGGGATACGTCAGAGAGCAAAACAGAACAAAAATCCCTGATCTCAGGGAACCATAGTGAATGAACATAGCACCTCCTAATTTTCCATTATGTTGAATTAATCCACATGCCTGTGTCTGTGTGAGTGTCAACACAGCTAATCCTTCCTACTGTGATCATTGACTCTTGAGAGCTGTAGATCCAAACCTGGAGTCCTAGGAGCTGGGGCTGGAATCAATCAGTCAACAAATATTTGCTGCATGCCTTCTATGTACAATACACATATGCACGGAGGTCACAGCATTGAACAAGAGATGAGGCCTCTGCCCTCATGGGCTCATTGTCTAATAATCTTGAAGTTCTCTTCCTTCCAGTTTTAGAAATTCTGTGGACTCTGAGAAACTGCCCAAAGGCAAGATAGTGCCTGGACATCCTAAAGAAATAGGGAGACACAACTACTCCTCTCCAAGTGGGTGAGGAAAGAGAAGAGCTTGGCTTATGGTCTGAACTTTCTGGATAAGCATCCTATAACTAACTAGCACTTCAGGTCAGTGGGCTCCAAGGAGATGCCCATGTCTGCTTGGCCTTGAATGGGATAAGGGAACTCAGGTGAAGCCATGACTTAGGTCATATTCAACAGCCAAGTCTCCAGCTTTTCCCTTCCTGAAAAACAGAACGGTCACACACATGGAAACTCTTAGGGAAATAGGGAATATTTCGGACTACCACCATTACTCATTGAAACAAGCCATTTGTAATGAATGTTCTGGGCATGTATTTGGCTTTAAAAGGAAAGGGGAGAAAAATCACACTGCCCAACGTTCTGGGATTGCCTACCACTGAACGCCACAATCATCTCTCCCAGTATCCTGAAGACCAAACATGCGAATTTACTCCTATGTATTCTACAAATACAACAGCAGACTCCAAGAGAGTTCTGATTCATGTTTTATGGTCAGAGGCATTTTACCCATACATCTGATAACAGTGGCTCTGTAGGTCTCCTGTTTCTCAAATGTTTATTCTTCAACTGGCCATGCAGTGGAGCTTGGCCGAATGTCTTCATTGTTTAGATGCCACCACAAACCAGTCTGCTTCCCTGCAAAAAGTAAACAATGAGCTAAATTAAGTGAATTGCTTTCCATCTCCAAGTTCCAGTTGCCAGGAGAAAGTAGTTTTTTAATGAGCAAAGCAAGCTCACGATCCTGGGGGTGCCAACCAGGTTTGTGAACAGTCATTATGAGAATAGAGACAGAACAGGAGGGCCGACTTGGGTTGGGTGAACCCAGCGAGAGGCAGACCCTCGGGGGACATTTGGAGACAGGAGCCCAAGGGTTTCTGCTACTGTTGAGTCATAATGGCAAAAGCATTTTGTTTTTCCTAATTTCTTATGTCCAGTCGACAAAATGGGGATGAGTCTCTGCAATTTTTGTTTACCCACCAACAAGTGGTGGGAATGTCGTAGCATCTCCCGGAAAAGGGACCACATGACCGAAGCATAAGATCTGTGTCTCTGAAGCAAAACCCAATGTTGTCCAGGTCAGACTATGTATGGAGCACATTGCCCACAGAATGAGCTCTTTGCTACTCCGTCATCTTTTCTTTCTTAGCATAAAAATAATACTTTGCATGTTTGTTTGTTTACACTTGATGTATACATATCATGGTCCAGAATTCAAAAGGTACAAAAAGGCAAGAGGGAAAAGTAAGCCTTCCTCCTTATTTCTCTGCCACTCAGCTCTTTTCCCTGTACCAGAGTATGCTCTTAACCCTCAGTATCTGTGAAAGCGTATTCTCTAGTATGAACACGCCATTGTGTATTTTAACCCGTCTCTTGTTGATGGACACTGTTACCAATTTCCTGCCATTGGAAGCAGTGCTGCGAAGACTGTCCTTGAACACACAGCGTCTTTGCTCAGGAGCTACGAGAGCTGTATGATATATTATTCATTTCCCAGTATGGTGGAGCTGTTCTCGTCATGTAATCTTGTACATGTATGGGAAAAGGCAAAGTAGCATCATTTTGCCTCCTTTTCCTCTTATTATAAAACCCTACATGGCCACATCTGTGTATCCCCTTCCCACAGATCCCCAGAAACAGGAAAGAGGAATCTCAAGTGCTCTGTGCCATCTCCCTCCCCACGGTCTCTTAATAAGCCTGCCTGTTTTTAAAGCCAATTGAACTAAATGAAAAGCACTAGAGAGCGCTGGGAATGAGGATGAGCTTTTCCAGAAACAGCGGATTGCTCAAATACATGATTTTTTTTTTCCTGCCTGCTATATGCACGCTGATTGAAAATATCAACAAAGGCGTTCTGAGAAAACCATGAAAGAGAAGAGAGGCCTTATAATCAACAAAAAAATTTATGTGGCCACTTGAGTCTCGAATGTGAGCTTTTAAAAATCCAGTTAGTTGGGGGATAAAAAGGCACTACTAATTTTGAATGTCATATTTTCCTGGTTGGTTCTTTAAACCAAATCAGAGATTTTTCAGGGTTTTAGAAAAGAAAATTATTGCCTCAATTGTGTGGGTGCCTTTGTCAGATTGGGTGAGTTTCTGGTGAACAACAAAGTCCACTGAAACTTTTGAGTGTCCTATAGTCAGTCCCTCAACCTGAGAAAGAACTATCTGGGCCAAGCAACACCTCTTGGGCATCAGAGTAGAGCTGGAGGGCCATGCTCTTCCTTCTACAAATTCATCTCCCATCTTCCTACTGCCCATGATCATTCTCCCACCTAATATTCCTAAGGGATGGTTAGATCTGAAGACCAAAGAAAGGCAAGCACACACCATAGCCAGAATGAAAGGAACCCTTTATGATACCTAAGAGTTTCCTTTTTACTAATATAATTCCTTTTCACTGAAGTATAATTTACGTACAAAAAAGGCCCTTTTTTGGTTGTATATACAAGTTGTGACAAATGTATCACCTGTGTAACCTCATCCTCCATGATTACATAGAACTTTTCTATCACACCTAGGAAATTTCTCTCATGGCCGGTTACAGTCAACAATATCCCTACCCACCCCATCATTCCCAGGCAGCCTGATCTTTCGTTCACTATAGATTACTTTTGCTTGTAAAATTTCAGGCAAATGGACTCACTTAGCATTCACATTGTTGCATGCATTTTCCTTCTAACTGCAGAGTAGTATTCTATTTTATGGATAGCCATAATTTGTTTATCCATTTGTCTGTCTCAGGACATTTGGGTTGTTTCTAGCTTGAAGGTATTATGAGTATAGCTGCCATAAATACTCAAGTACAGTCTTGTTATGGACATATGCTTTTATTTCTCCTGGGAAAATTCCAAAGAGTGTTATTGCTGGGTGAGACTGGCTGTGTCTATTAACTTGATAAGAAACTGCCAAGTATGTTTGTACTTTATAAACAGACTGTGTCACTTTATATTCCCACCAACAACATACAAGAATTCCCGTTGTTCCACATCCTTGTCAACACTTGGTATTGTCCATTTTTTAGCCATTTTCATGGATGTGTAGTGGTACGTTATTGTTCTGATTTGCATTTCCCTGGTAAACGAATGATGTCGAACACCTTCTCATGAGCTTGTGGCCATTTAAATGTCTTTTGTGAAATCTCTTTAGCCATTTTTTTATTGGATGTTTGTCTTATTATCAAATTATAACAGCTCTTTATACATCCTAGATAAGTCCTTTATCCAACAAATGTAATGTGAGTAGCTTCTGGGACCAATCTGATATCCTCAGTGGACTAGCACTGTGCCTGGCACATGATAGCAAGTGGCCATGAATGTTAGGAGTTATCATTGGGCAGAAAGTAGCATCTGTAGAGACTAAGACTAGTGGTCCCAGCTCTTTTGTAGAGTCTCCAAATTCGCACAATCCCTTTCCCTCTCTCCAAATTCAAGGGAAGATGGAAAAAAGAGGGACGGGGGTGGTCTAGGAAATAACAGGTGTTTGACACCATGCACTGCACATTCACTTGTCCATATCAATTCCATAGTCAGAAAAGGAAGCCTGGTTAGGATGTCAGACTTACGAAGCTGAGTCGCACCATGTATACTTCTGTGTGTTTGTGCTTATTTACAGATTCGTTCGGAGACAATTGCCACCTATGCTCTCTGTGGCTTTGCTAATTTTGGTTCCCTAGGAATAGTGATTGGTGGACTCAGTAAGTGAAAAGAATATTCTTCAACAACGTATGTGACATAAACATACTTTCGATCTCTATCTTTCTCTGTAACATTATTGGCGTCCGGGGGAAAAAAAGGTCCTGTGACAGTAGTACATGCTCTGAAGTCTTTTTTTTTTTTATTCCTGCTCTACAATATAGTTTTCTTATGTAACCCCAGCTAACGTCAGGAAGAATTTGTTCAAATGTACCAGTGCTTCTCTACCCAGCGACGACGCATAGATTTCACTGTGCATGCCAATTCCAGTGGACTTAAAAAGGCCACCTGGAGAAGGATTCTGAGGCCAAGGGCAAGCAGGGAAATGTTGTGATTAGTGAGTGATGTCAGCCATAGGCACAGAAGTAGCTGGTGATGATAAGCTGGAGATGTTTGCGTCCCACTTTGAGATCCATCTGCCTGGCCGTGCCCTCCAGACACAGTGGTGAAACTTAGAATAAAATGGAGAACTTGCTTCTTCTGCAGAAAAGGGAAGCTTCTGGACCTTCTGGTGTGGACATATTTCCTCCCTTCTTCCCCCCACCAGAGAACTCTGGATGTGGAGCTCATCACGAAGCCCCTGAATCTTGACTTTCCCAGTGAATTTGGAAAAAAAAAAAAAAAAGTCTCTCACCTGAGACGCCCAGCCCTGGAACAGTTCTCAGAGGTGGGGAATTTGGAATTCCCAGTCAATGACCTCAACATTAATCTCCTACTTCCATGTCTCCTAGCATCCATGGCTCCTTCCAGAAAGCACGATATTGCTACAGGGGCAGTGAGAGCGCTGATCGCGGGGACCGTCGCCTGCTTCATGACAGCCTGCATTGCAGGTACTGCAGGCTGTCCCTTGTGTCCTGTGTCCCGGAGCCCACAGAGTGGCAGCTTTCAGGGGTTTGTGCCCCCCACCCTGCAGAGGCAGCATCGCTGCTGCGGGGAGCCAAGAAGCAGAGCTGCTGTGTATATTATAAAGTGAAACGTGCAGAGCACGGTGAAGAAGTTAAGAACAGGAAGAGGGCTTGGTGATGTTGTTGGTTATTAAAGCGGAGGGCACTCTATTTCACTTCCAGGGATACTCTCCAGCACCCCTGTAGACCTCGACTGCTATCACCTTTTAGAGAATGCCTTCAACTCCAATCCACCTGCAAACACATCCAATGTGATAACTTGTTGTCGAACTCTACTGAACAGGTATTGGGCTCTTGAGTCTGACTTCTTCGTAGCCATTATTAATAAACAAATTAGGCATACAGACCCCATCCGCTTATTTTTATAACTCTGCGTTCGATAATAAGAGCTTGTGGGGAGCCTGGGCAGCTCAGTTGGTTGGACCTCTGGCTCTTGACTTTGGCTCAGGTCATGATCTCAGGGTCATGAGATTGAGTCCCCGCATCAGGTTCCCTGTTCTGCGGGGAGTCTCCTTGTCCCTCTGCCTGTGCCCTCCCCTCACTCACACTCACACACTCTCCCTCTCTCAAATAAAAACATAAATCTTTTAAAAAGAGAAAAAGAAGAACTTCTGCAATGGTTCTAAACCACCTTTGGTCTTGACCTCTCTCAGCTGAGACTAGGAAATATGATACTAACTAGCAAGTGCTACACAAGCATTTCTTATGCCCCCAGCTTTGTGATAGGCCTTTGGCGTGAATTAGCTCATTTAAACCCCAAAGCCTCCATAGAAGTTAAGAACTATTGCTCTTTTGGTGTTCAATAAAATCAGGCCTTGAGAAGGCTATCCCACTTTCCCAAGCAGAATGAATGCAAGCACAATCAAGATAGAAAATTTACGTCTTTCTGTCCAAAGTCTATGCCCTTAACTCGTGCTCAATAATTAATTAGTTGGTACCACCACCCTTTCAAGGGCACCAAGCCATGCAGGCTGTCCCGACAACATGGTGATAGTGATAGTGGTGCTCCAGCGCATGAGGGGCCACCAGGGGCCCGTGACCCATACTGGCGCCTCCCGCCCTGTACGCTTTCTATCTGCAAAACCAATCCCCTTACCCCATCTGCCTTTCTTAATGTGCTAGTGCTTTATGAGGATTGATTCTTGGTTTATTCTGGAAGAAACGGGGGGAGTCCTTGAGGCCAGACAGAATTTGAGAGTCAAAACTAATTCTCTGGGACCTCTGTCCTTAACCCACCCTAACCTGAAAGTGGGGAGGAAATCAGCTTCCCGCTCTATGCTATTTTTAATGTGTCTTCTGCCCATCTACCACTTCTGTCTTCAGAGGCTCAACTAACTGTTTTATCCTGCTTTCCACCAGCACTATTGTCAACAGCCCTGGTGACGTCATCCCAGGAGGAAACCACAGCTTGTCTTCTTTACGGGGCTGCTGCACATTGTTGGCTCCACCAATGCTGAACTGCACTTGGATCCCTGATGCACTTTGAGTTCGCCTTCTCCTCCAATGGAACTTTAGGTACAGATGCTGAATTTCCTGCTTTGGGGTGGAAAAAAAAAAAAAAAAAAAAAAAAACACTATTCTTCACAGATGGCTATTTCCATCATGGAGTCAGCTTTAACTGGAAAGAGAAAAATGGGAGTGAACCTTTCAGATCTCCAGCATCGTCCTTCTCTCTTTCCCTCCCTTCCTCAAACTCGTCCCCACTGAGAACTACTGTGATATCTCAAGATGGGCTATTGCCTCCAGTCCCAAAGATGTTTTCTGACCCTACAATTTTACAACATGTTACCAGAATGCAGGTATCAGTGATGGCTCACCACAGTGGGGCTACGGCTCAGCCACACTCAGAGCGGCTCACTTCCAGAACATCTCAGGAGAGGTCAGTGCATTCACCCTGGCTGACCTGAAGTAGCCAGGAATCTCACAAGGGGAAGGATCAGTCATTTGTTACCCATTCATGGCCTGCCCTGAGGAAGTCCTACAGAAATCAGGAGTCTTTTAGGAGAGCATTTAGATCAGTCTAAAACCAAGTTTGAAATCCTGTATGCTTAGAGAGTTATACCAGTCAGCTGACCCTAAATTTTGTTGCAGTAAGAAATAAGCCAAAAACCTTGGTGACTTACAAGTTTATTTTTTCCTTGTACCTTATGCTTACTGAGGGTCAATTCTGGCTGTATTTCATGTCGTCTCTACTTCCAGGACCCAGGCTAAAGCAGCAGCCACTATGGGGGGGGGTGGGGTTGCTCTTAAAACTTCTGTTAGGAAAGACCTTTCACTTCTACTATATTCCATTACCCAAAGCTAATCAATCATATAATAAGCATGATATCAATGGCTATGGATGAATTATCATGTCTGAGGGAAGGATAGTGAGTATTTTGAAGAAACAACATGATAAAGTACATGGATACATGATATTCATTTCTCCCTTCAAGGAGTCAACCTGTTCTATCACAGAAAGCCTACTCATGCAGGATTTGTTTCTCTTCCTGCTGACAGGACTGGAAAATGGCACTACCTTTTGGTCAAAAAGTCACTTAAAGACCATTTGAAGAAAAAAAATAAGTCCTGGTTGAGATCCGAAACCTTCCACCGATACTTCCATTGACTAGGAAAGCATCAGCATCAAAGCTGCTTAGTAGGAATCAGAGAAGAACCTTCCTTAATGGGTTCTGAGATATAATGTGTGTCAAAAGAAAATTCTGGAGACAATGGCAGGGTGCTCTTTAATGAAATGCTCATCACCAATTCTCTTAATAGCCCAAAGACCACATTGTGTGAGAAAACACAAACACCAATGACTGAGTCAACAGGTGATTCACAAGAAAGAAAAAAAAATGTGAAAAAGTTTTGGAATACCTTAGGTAACTTATTTTAGTTATGTTTTCTTTCTTGTTCATGCACAGTTTTTTGAAATGTATATGTAAATAGCTGGTGTGTGTGTGTGTGTGTGTGTGTGTGTGGCAGCAGAGGAGAAGGATGAAGTTAAATGCCCAAAGGACGCTTTTTCTCTAAAGTACAATATACTAGGATATTTCTATTGATCATTTGTATCAAATTTTCTTGGAATTCATGTGCCCTTCCAATGTTTAGATTTTATTTTAGGAAAGTATATTTACATGTCTTTTCTCTATGTTCTTTGTGTCAACCTTCAGAAAAGCCTGTGACAATAGCATGCCATGGTGCTGGTTATTCATATGTTGGTTTTCGTTGGTCTGCTAGGGCTATTCTCTTTCTAATTCATTTTTCTCTTTTTAATTCTTTACATCTATTTTATTTTATACCTGAGACTCTCTAAGAGGATTTCTGTGCTATTTCTAATGTGCTTCTGTAACCAACTCATTTTCAAATTCTGTCTGTTGCAATTACTGTTCTTTGGAAGTTTGTAGCTCTTCTCTGGGCTCTTTTATTTCAAGGAAAACTTAATAATTACTGTCCTGTTTTTAAGTTTCCTTCTTTTTTCAACTGCAGAAAGTAATATCCATTTCTAGTAAAAAGTCACACACACACACACAAACACACACACACACACACACACACCTTTCTTCAAACATATGTAAGAGCATGGAGGATTTGTTTCTTCTACAGAACTAGAATGAATCGACTTAAATATCACGTACAACTTCTTTTCACTTGGCAACATACCTTGGACATTTCTACCAAGTCATAATATATGCTGGGAGAGGGAGGGAGTTAAACATTGTATATTCTACTCGCTTCCCTCCCTTCCCTGGCCCTGGCCCACCACATATAGGTAACCCAGGTTAAATAATCTGACATATAGCTTTCTGTACTTTTTTTTTCATGCTCAGGTCATGTTTTATAAACATATGCTATTGAGGATTGGTATGGTTGTTTTATCATACTGGGATATTCTGGGATGACTCACATTTCTCTGCAGTCTGTTTTTCTTCTATAACAATTCTTCATGATATTCAAGTCCACTGGCAAAGCGGTGTTTTTCAAAGGCTTCATAATAGTCTCTGACATATTATGTGTATGTATTATCCATTCCTCTAAGGACAAGCACCCACTTTTTGGGGTTTTGCTTTGGTTTTGGCTACTTTGAATATACCTGCCCACTTATTTCACAACCTGGTGGCTTTATTCTATAGCAGTGCTATCTGATGGAAATATAATGCAAGTCACATGTGATTTAAAAATTTCTAGTTGCCACTTCAAAAACTTAAAAAGAAACTCGTAAAATTAATTTTAATAATATTATTTCACCCCTTATAACCATATTATCATTTCAATAAATTATTTTATATTCTTTTTAACTGAACTTTAAAATCTAGTACATATTTTATACTTAGAGCATATCTTAAGACACATTTTCATTGGCAATACTTGCTCTGTATTTAGATTTCATAAAAGTTACAGTTGCAAAGTAAATTCACGTGCCCAAATTGTTCCAAACACACTAAAACGCTTTCCAAAAACTGAAATGAGTATCGGTTTTAAATTAAAATTTTAGTTCCTCAGTTGCACATAGGAAATAGTTCCATAATTCAATTATTAGGAGCTACCGATTCAGACAGTGCAATTCTATAAGGTGGTTTCCTAGGTGAACTGAAGTGAGTGTGTGTATATTTGGTATTAATATACATTGTCTTAATTTTTACCTGTTTTGTGATATAATCTTTCTAATGTGTTTTATTCCTCTACCTCTGTGTGTATATGTGGTATTTCTTTTCAAATGCAACATGTTCACATAAATCCCATGCTGATTTCTTCTTTAATATTTTCTATCCTTGAGCTGAGGAGGGCATGTTATTCTTGAACCATATGAGAAAGAATAGTAAGGGTGCAGACCGGACGAATGAGGTGATCACTTTGGGCCTCTTGTGTCCAGAAACCTTACCAAGCCGCTCTGAATGATGAATGGCTCTGGGCTGGCTGAAAGTTTCCCTCCTCCCAGTGAAACTACTCAATGGAGTTCTGGGTACATGGTGACATCTCCCTTCTTCTTCAGCAAACATAAAACCTGGGGGGCTGTTTGTTCCCCTCAGTTTATCCTACACCCACCTACCCATGGTTTTCTGAGGTGGCAAAGATGGGGTGCCTGTGTGCTTCCTATATGTTTGTTTAATCGTGGTCTGAGGTCACTCGGTGCTGACAGCATGTTGCTATAGATCTATGCACCCTGAGCTTGTTTCAAGTCAAGGCTGTGACATCCCTTTTGAAGAATTCTGCGCTCTGCCTACACCGCCCAAGAAATCTGAAATGTTTGTCTTCACACCAGTACAGTTTCCAATAGCCCGAAAGACCTTTTTTAAACACAGTATTATGGGTCCAGATATGAATATTTCCTATTTTTAATCAAGATGAAAGTTTGCTTTGCTGCTTCTTATTCTCTCTGTTGTTTTCTGCTGGCTTGTAAAAGGAGAGGGGGCCAGAAATGGCATTTCTGTTGCCAATCCAGAAGCTATGGTTATAATCAAATTCTCTGACCCTGCAGAGGCCTTACAGTCTCAGCAAAGAATAGACTGTAGTCCTGGGGTATGGAGAATTTACTTCGATTTTTTTTTCCATTGGTAAAATCGACACACCCAAGCACTTAGATCTGAGTGGGATCTCTATAACTACACAGATTACCATCATGCATTCATTTTGCAAGTGCTCCCAAATAATTGCTTTAATAGTTCTGTAGCTTAATTAGGCCGATAGGACACTGTGAGGAGCTTAAGGTGTGCATTCGCCCAGTGAAGCTGACTTCCAATTACAGAACAATTCCCAAACCAGGCATGATTGTAAAGAAGGTATTGAAGGACACCGTGTGCCAGGAAGGATTAAACTACCCTCCATGTACTGGAGGCAGGGACGGGGGAGGCAATCATTCACATTTTAAACAGGCAGGAACACAGGACTTAAGAAAGAAATGTCTGGTCCAGGTGCACCATACGGCGCTAATGAGCCATATGGTCCTGAGAAAAGCTACTTTTTACAACCTGTTACTTAATTTTAAAAATTGCTTTAAGCTCAAGCAGGAAGGAAAGTATACAGGTACCCATTCTTTTTCTGGATCTAAAGGCAGCATACGCTTAGTGCAGTTATGTTTTCTTGTCTATCACAAAGGCCACGCGATTGACCTCTGGATGTAGAGTGGGTCATTTCAACCCGGGTCCTTCGTGGACTACTTGGCATTTTCATTTCAAGGGACTCTAGAAAGTAGACAATAAATCTGCATCAAGCCAGCCCCTCTTACCCATTAAGCCTTTTACAAAGTGGAAGGACACGTTTCTGAGAGGCAGGGAAATAGCCTGGAATCATGTAACAGAGAAAGGCATTTAAATGACAACCTTGAAATGTAGTCCTATGGCAAATGACAACCAACCAGTTTGCCATGAGACACTGGGATTAGGGAAAAATTGATGTCTTGGACCCTGTGTTAACATGCAGAATCAGCCCTCCATCTTCCATGTGCTGGGCATGCTTCCAGTCATTTCCACAAAATGAGAGAATTGTAGAATCCTAGGTCATTCAGAAATACTTCCATCTCCTCCAGCCATCCCGCACCCCAGTCACATAGAGCCACCAAACCCATAGATTACTATGGCTATAAGTAGAGTTGGGAACAGTGTTGCCTGGTCTACTCTAGAATCCTTTCAACTGCAAAGTATCTACCTCATTCCATAACTGTTTGCCCTTATGTCTGTCTGACCACTAGACTACTAACTCCTATGTATTTCTAGTACCTAGCACCTGGCATCTAGTATGCATTCAGGAAATAGTTGTTCATTCCATGAATAAATGAACATTGCAAAATGGCTCACCTTCACATAAGAAATAAAAGTTCATCGGGTCAACTTTCTACAGTCTCATCGAAAAACGCATGCTCCTAATAAAAATTGCAAGTGATATCCCAGTATATAACTGAGATATTGGAAATCTTCCTCCCATCTCTCTCTATGCCCCATAGTCAGCCACAGTGTGCACTTTGGTGTTTTCTTTTTATATAACAAACTACAGTGAGTTATAACAAACCAAATTGAATGAGTTTTCTTTCAAGCCGGACGCCTGAATCACTTTCACATTCCATTTCTTGACAACATGGGGTACGTGGTTTTGCCTGTCTTGTAACACTGTGTTGTACAATGATAGGAAACCAAGTTCAGGAGACTGGCCTTCTGGATATTCTGCAAGGCTAAGCTGCAATTTAGTAGTGTGTTCTGTGTTGACGCTAAATGGAACCATTAAAAGCATCCTAATGCGCAACATAAATAAATGTATTTTAAGTAACCAGATTCTTTCTGCTTAACTGAGCAATTGTTCTGCTATTCTGGAAAAGCTCTTAGAGAAAATGAAAAACAACAACCCAGTTGTTCCTTCTGATGAGGATGGGAGTACGTTTCAGCAGCTACGAGTTCAGACCTGGAGATGAGCTGCCAGGGTTCAAACCCTGGCCCTAGACTCTACTTCCATTACCTTAGAAATTTACATAACTCTCTATGCCTCATTTTCCCCATCTGTAAAATGCAAATAAACCTATTTCCTCCCCCATATTTTTATAAGAATTAAATGAGTTTGATCATGTAAAGCACTTAACACCTCCC